ACAAATATGGAAGGGCCTCTCTGAGAGGCAGGGCAGAAAGATGATGTGTTCACCTGGGTTTATGGCCACCAAGTCTGGGTTGCAGCCCCCCCTCCACCACTCCCAGCCTCCCTGATTCAGGCCAGGATGTTTGCACATATCTTGTACCATCCCCATGTGTGGCATGGCTGCTTGCTTAGCAAGCTGCAGCTGGTGCCCAGGAGGGACTGCCACCAGTTTTGGGTGACCAGCACAGCAGAGATGTGGGGACAGGGCCTGGTCACTGGTCACCTCCTCGTGGATGATAAGTAAACACAGTTTATTTGAACAGTAAAGACAACTACTGTCCTGCCCTCTTGTTGTAATAAGTAACTGCATCTGTGTGCCAAGCTGGGCAGTGCCAGGATGCAGAAACCTGCAGTGGGGAGGGAGGAGGAGGTGGTGAAGGCTGTGGGAAGAGATCTGTGAAAACTGCCTGTTGCTTTTGCAAACAGCAGTCAATGAACTGGTTTTGTGCAGTAGCCGTAATTGTTGCACTACTAAGGTGAGGAGAGCAAGCATGTGGGGCTTATTCATGCTCAGCTCACACCTTGGCTTTGTGTGAAGACACCAATAAAAGAGCATGCACAGGGTCCCACAGAAGTGCCTCTGTCCCCAGAGGACACAGTGTTAAAATCATACCTTCACATTCACAACCTTCCTTGTCTAGTTCAGTTTCAATTTTATTATTGTTGAAAGTAAAGCAAGAACATGGGTCTTATGCCCAGCAGAACCCAAGCCCTGAGATGTGTTTCGGGCCTGCCAGATTTTATAGCACAGCAGCTTTCTGAGTCTTGTTTCAAGGTCTGTTTCTTCTAATGGCAGAGCCTTGGTTCAAGGGGGCTGTTGCTCATTTGGGTAAACTGGGAGCAGCTGTTTATTTTCCCTGCAATTCTTCTCCCGCAATTGATGGTGAAGTTGTATCTCTAAACAGTTGCACTGCCATGGCAGAGGGGGCAGAGGTGGCAATAAAGAAGGTGGGAACTTCTAAAACTGGTTCTGCTCTTGCATCTAAAGCTGAATTTCTTCCCTGTAAAGCTTCTCCCAACTGTTAGAGGATGTGAAGTTACAGTGACAAATATGGAAGGGCCTCTCTGAGAGGCAGGGCAGAAAGATGATGTGTTCACCTGGGTTTATGGCCACCAAGTCTGGGTTGCAGCCCCCCCTCCACCACTCCCAGCCTCCCTGATTCAGGCCAGGATGTTTGCACATATCTTGTACCATCCCCATGTGTGGCATGGCTGCTTGCTTAGCAAGCTGCAGCTGGTGCCCAGGAGGGACTGCCACCAGTTTTGGGTGACCAGCACAGCAGAGATGTGGGGACAGGGCCTGGTCACTGGTCACCTCCTCGTGGATGATAAGTAAACACAGTTTATTTGAACAGTAAAGACAACTACTGTCCTGCCCTCTTGTTGTAATAAGTAACTGCATCTGTGTGCCAAGCTGGGCAGTGCCAGGATGCAGAAACCTGCAGTGGGGAGGGAGGAGGAGGTGGTGAAGGCTGTGGGAAGAGATCTGTGAAAACTGCCTGTTGCTTTTGCAAACAGCAGTCAATGAACTGGTTTTGTGCAGTAGCCGTAATTGTTGCACTACTAAGGTGAGGAGAGCAAGCATGTGGGGCTTATTCATGCTCAGCTCACACCTTGGCTTTGTGTGAAGACACACCTGCTGAGCGTGGGGAAAGGGTGCTGTTGTGTGAGTAGGTACTACCATGAGCAGATGCCCAAGCAATGCTATTTCGAGATGTTCAGCAGTTACATTTCCACCAGCCAAAGCCAGATGAAGCATACAAAGATGCATCAGGTTTCCCTGCATGCAGTAAGAGAGTGGAGGTAGCTTGAGTTCAGACACAGGTCAGTCTCCACCAGGAAGCTTTGCAGGCTGTGCACAGTGTTTTCTACCCGAAACATATGAGTTTCCAAGGATTTCATCAGTGCAATTGCAAGAGCTGGAGGTGAAGAAATTTCTCCCCAGGAGCAGTTTGATGCATGGCCAATACACAAACATTGTTCAAACAAAATCTCCATTGAGGTCATGCCCAGAGGCAATGCAGTCTAGCAAAATCTCAAAGCCTTCGAGGGGTTTCTGTCTTAATTTTAAACAACCCTGTTGAAAGTCTCTGATATTCTGTTATTCCAGCCACAGTGGTAGAAAAGAGCAGGCTGTGATTCTAGAGCAGGCATGTCTGCAAAAATGTTTACACACAGTAAAGAACTGCTGTAATTCAATGTAATTACTCCTCATATTTTCATGTCATCTTGCTGGTGAAAATATGTTGGACCATGTATTTGTCTTCAGGTATTATTTGCAAAATCTAAACTTGTTTTGTAATGGAAAATGGGAAATCAGGTGGAAGAGCCAAATACTTCAATCCTTGCTCAGATGATTCTCATACTAATTTTAATTTTTCAAGCTGTTGTGTTTAATGTATGGCCCCTGTGCTTAGACCTGAAAGCTGGAGATTAAGAGCTGTGTAGATGTGACCTAGTTTTTAGTCAGTGAAGCCATTCTCACTTTTTATTGAACAACAAAACGAGCTACTTCTGTTTCGACATAACAATTAGGAAATTTTACTCCTTGTTTGTGACTATTGATAGGACAAAACTTTCCAAAGTGCCAAGATCTTCTTGACAGCTACTGCCGTTAGGGCTCCTAAGGCACACAGTTTGAGGCATTTCATTTGGTGCTTTGCAGACAGATAATAACCCCAGTCTCTTCCCTGTGGTGTCCAAAGGCTCATTTCTGCAATGCTTGGCAGTTGTTGTGCTAAATGAGAGGAGGGGTTGCAGGAACACCTTGCCTCTCTGAAGCACTGAGGGTTTTTTTTTTTCTTTTCTCACTGGCTTGACAGAAGATGAGGAGGCTGAGCATCTAGCAGGATGCTGTCAGGCAAAGTCATGGTGCTGCATCAGTGTGAATGAAAGCAAAATTAGGGCTTTGCTGTCAGGGAGGATGAAATAACAGCAAGAATTTCCTGGCAGAGATCTCTTTGCCAGCTTCCCATTAGGTTTCATTCACTTGATGCATTCCGGTGCACACACTCAACTAATATTTCTCTGAGGAATGAAGGGCTTTATTCAGTCAGCCAAGTTGCACCTTTGTCCCTGTGCCCAGGCAGCACACAAAAAAATATAGGTCCTCTAAAGAATAACTGAGGGCTTAAGTAAGACACTGAGCAGGGAAGCTGTCAAGTGCCAGGTAATGGGAGGTATACAGTGGAGAGTCAGCCTGGCCAAGTCTGTTGGATATCAAGGTGATGGATACACAGGAATTTTCTCTCCCAGTTCCTTAGTTTCTGCAGCAGCGTCCTGTGCACGCAGAGCCCAGAGCCTGCAGGTTCCCAGCCCTGCTTCATTCCCTGAGCCCCTGCTGCATTTCTGAATGTCCATCAGATCTTTCAGCCCTGAACTTGGGGACTGTGATGTCCCAGGACCAAGGCTGAGGTACCATGAGCACTGTCTCCATTTCTTCAGTATTTGGAGCAACAGATCCTGCATTTTGAAAATCAGACTGTCTGGCAAGTTCGTCGATAACTTGTCAAATCTATTGACTGGGGAGGCTGACAAAGGAAGAAATAACTGCTCCACACTGACTTTTGAAACCCTCAGTTTATACCAAAGAACACTTTCAGCAAGGTAAATATACTACATAGCCTGACCTCACCCTTGCTAATTAGTATTAGACAGATACCAGAGCATCTTTGTGTTGCTGCTTCTGCTTGTAGTCTGCTCTGTAAAATGCTTCTGGTTTCGATGGATGGTCTTTCAAGTTGCCTACCATGAGCAAGTACTTCGAAGCAGGTGCTAATCAGAGAGCTAGAGCAGGAGTTTCTACATCATCCAGCATATTTTTTTTAAGTTTAAATACATTAAGATCAAAGCAGTTTATTGCAGTGAATACACTGTCTAAAAAGGCATTCAAAACAGTCAAAAGAAAGTGGAGGAGTTCACTAGCTGCAAACTGTTGTCATCCTTTTATGTTGTGGGTTCATCTAATGTTTCACTGTTCATGTACTGCAAATGCATCACTTGTAGCCTTCAAACTGTTTTGTGGTTGCTGATGTTGCAGTGGCAGATGGTACTTTTACACAAACAAGTTATGTTTACATTGCTAAAGCTGGATTTTACACAGTCACCTGTTGAAACAGCAAAACGTCTGTGATTTCATTGCTACTTCTGCTACAGTTCGGGTCTATTTCTATACAAACTTTGCCCAGTAAAAACACTGAGAAAGTTCATTCAGCTTCAGTCACTCTCACTTGATGCCATCCAAGTAGAAGTATCATTGGTAAAATGAGAATCGTCAAAGAAAAGCATTTGCTTGTCTTTCACAAATAAGTGTCTATTAGACTGGGGTTTTTATGATCCCTGTCTGAACTCATGGCCATGTAAGAGTGACTTTAATCACCAAAGTGCATCAACTCTTTTGGGGCAAAACCTGTTGGGTTCAAAAGATAAAATTCCAAACTCTAGCTGAAGTTCTGGACTCTGGAACCTCTTCTTTAGCTGAAATTTAATCTTTAAGACTGCTCTGTAGGCACTGTTGCAAGTTATCAAGTTTAGAACAATATTTGTACTAGAAACCGTGCAGAAATACCAATCCTAAAAAAAAATCAATAGCAACACTTGCACTGTAGGAGCAACAAAGACGCCTCAAGCCAAAGATGAAGTTATCCAGCTCATGCCCATCTGTATCTTCAACTTGCAGCAGACCATGGTGGCAGAGAAATGGGAAAGGGTAGTGTCTGTCCCATGAGCAGCTGGAAGTCAGCTGTCCTGCTACCACCTGCTGAAGACCAGGTTGGTGATAGGTCAGGGGGACAATCCTTTCCCCTCTCTTCACACCCACCTCACCCATTCGATACTTGCCTTGTGTTCGCTGATGCCTGAAATGCTGTTGCTAACTTGAATATACTGTTTTTCCTTGCAGCTCTGAAGGGTTGATTGCTGAGTTAATGATTTATACCTTAATACTCCATTTAGGGCCCTGGTGTTTATCGTTCACGGCGCTGGGGAGCACTGCGGCCGCTATGAGGACCTGGCCCAGAGGCTGACAGAGCTTAACTTGTTTGTTTTTGCCCATGACCATGGTGAGTAGCCTAAAACAGTACTTGATCTACAGCAGTTCAGGACTTCACTGAAGTACAATGCCATTAAAGCTACTCAGCAGTGAGAGAAGAGTCAATGAAATGTTTACACCTCAGAAAGGGATCACCTGTCGGTTTGTACCGATCTGTGTATTGAACCTTTGAAAAGCTGTCCTTGTTTACCTTGAGTTTTCCTCAGCCTTGTCCTTGACATTACTGCTGGTGCTATTTTAACCTCTCTGTAAGGGATTAATTCCCTTTCATCTAGCTCTATGGGGGGTGAGGAGGTACTGTCCACTGCGGAAGTGGGACTGGGAGCTATTTCTGCTGGATTCGTGATCACTGACCTAAATACTTGGTGGTCTATCATTTCGACTGACTTCCTTCTGAGTTGGAGGTGGGCTAGCAGGTGCTTGCAGGAATTCCAGCAGAGAGTGTCTCCATTGCTCCCTGTTTATCCGTATGGCATAAAGTTCATGAAGAAGGTGATAGAACAGGCCACATGCTGTCTACTCAGCAGCTGCTGTTAGTAGACTACAGACAATATGTACAAAAAATTACTGAGCTCCAGGAAACAAAAGAAATGTTTTCAGAGCCACCACAAACCTGTGAAAATCTGCAGTTGCTTGCTGTGCATGCTTAATGTTGTGCCTTAGTTCTTCCTTCCCTTAAAACTTGATAAAGGTTTTAAGACATAGCATTGAAATAACAATATTTGAAGCAATGAACCTAGAAGAAACAATAAAATGTTGTATTTCTCATATGAGTTTGATACACAGAACACCTCTTTGACTGATGGAGACAGGTTTTTGGGGTGAAGGTTCCTGTCAGGCATGTTTTGTGCTGTATAAAGAGGCAGTTATTTGCTCTCCTTTTCCTTGAGTGTTTTTTTGACTAGAGAAGCATAAATATTTTGTTGTTGTTTTTTTTCTAAAGACTTATTTTGGTGGATTAATTAGTTCACTTTGGTTAGTATATCTGGTTGCTCAGGCTACTTAACAACTTCATTCTCCCTGTCAAACCTACAGTTTTCTTTGTCAATTCAGTTTGGTTTTCTTCCCTAGCAATGGGGAGAGGGTAAAGAGGAACCCGAAAGCAGAACAGGTGTTATGTTACACAAAGAGCTAGTTTACCTGAGCTTAGATTCTCTGGAAGTTGGAAAGACAAATAACATATTTTAGGCTCTCTAAACAATATTTGCACCTAAAGAGGTAAGCAGTGAGGATAAACTTTGTTTTATGGAATAGAAGTTACAGCCTGACTTTGATACCAGGGAGAGCTGAAGGACATGAACACCTCCATTGCCAATCTGCTCAGATCAGACTTAGAGGTTTATAGCTTTTCTCCACCATTTTATCAATTCCAAATCACTTCAACAGTGTGTTCCCCTTTTGCATCTCATCCTTTGGATATCTTTAGGTGATAATAATTATTCTGTTATGTTAGCAAAGTAATTGCTTTTTTTGTTCCCCATCTCTTACAGTGGCTCTTAGTCTCACAAGCTTTGTGCAGATTTCCTGACCTGGACATTTATTCTGGTTCTACTGTTCTCATGGATAAAATTCTAAATATAGGTGCATTATCCATGAGATCATTAACACAGTTGCACAGTATGGCTGGTATGACTTCCCAAATGAGTTGGAAAGTTACTAGGGCTGTAGTGTGCATGACTTGACTGATTTATATTCTTTCTACCCTTCAGTCAAAAGAAAGAAAAATTATTTCCATTTATATTGCAGGGTCTGTAGGAGCTTGGACATTGGCTCTAAATCTTGGTGAAGGCTGCTCTGCTCCTGCTATGCAGGCTCCAGCAAAAAGTTTGGCACTTCACAGAGTAACAATATTCACCCAAATCTGTGTCTGTGTTGCCCCGTATAAGGTATCACTGGCTCAGTTCTCTTGGCATGTCAGGATTCCTACATTTACTCTGTGGGGTATTTCATAGTAAGCCCAAGACTGCTGGACCTCAGAGATCTGCATTAGAAATCTTCCACGGTGGTGATGAAAATTTAATTCCAGAAGACCTCTTAACCCTACCTTACATCTAATAATATTAAAGTGCTTTTTAAATTATCAATACCATGAAAGAGAAAATTGGTATTCCTTTGTCATACAGCATTGCTTTCTGTGGTCTCTTCTCTGGTGCTTTTAACAGGCAGGTACCCATTTCACATGATTTCTGGGTTTACTGGGTGTGCAGCTTCACAAAGGCAGAGTTAAGGCTGCTGGGATGACCTTGCCATGTGTTTCTAAAAGCTTTAGGTATTTTGAAATTACATCTCACTTTTTCAACTTCCTTTCTACATTATTATTATTTTATTATGTCAACATTCTGGTGACAGGAAAAAGAGACAGGGAAACATACTAGGTTATTGGCAATTAATTTAGGAAAGCCCTCTTGGAAGGAATACCCGTGGAAGATTCATGGAATGGAACCAGAGTGATATTGTAATTCTTCAGTGAGTCACAGGCAGATTGCAGCTCCTTTAGTTATGATGCAGTATTTTTAGGGATCTGTAAAGCTGAGAGCCAAGGAAAATGAGAATAGAGAATGTGGCTTTGTTTTCTCATACCAAGCATTTTCAGTTGGTAAAGCACATGATGTTCAGCTATCCTCATCTCTCTTCCTATAACATCTCATTTGCTGACATCCCATTCTCTATGGTTGCATGACATAGCCAGAGCCCAGAGAAACCACAATTACACCTTCAAAAGTACATGTCAACTACTAGCAGTTACCAAAGCATTTCCAAGGCTCGAGGGCCACAAAAATGTGTTGACTTTGGTCTTTCACTTTTTAGCAGTAGACACAGGGCACAGACCCTCTTTGTCACTTGGACTTGCTGGTGCTTCCTAGGGGTAGTGTGGCTGTCTTAGATGAAGATGAGGCAGGTGAAATAGCCCTAACCTGGCAGCAATTCCCAGCCCTTAGATTTGCTTGAGGACAGCCCCTCCAACCTTCTGCCTGTCCTGCTACGTGGAGACCTCCAACTCTTTGACCCTCTTGAAGCTGTTGAATTTCCCTCTCTAGAGTTAAGTGTAACAATAGATCAAAGCACAGGGAAAGGTTGCAGCACTAACAGCTTATTCATATTCCTTAGATGTTTCTAACTGAAGTTGGGTTTTCTTCTTCAGCCCTGCTGCTGCTTTATGTGTGGTGAGCATTTCTGATGGGTTAGCACGTCCCTCTCAGACTCCTACTGCTGCTTGTGCTCTCCATTAATCTTCTCACTGTTTTCTCTGCTTACTGAAGCACATATTTCTAAAAAGTAGAAAGTAGCTGGAGGAGAAATTTTTACATGCTTCAAATATTATCTGGTTTTGTTGTTTTGTTGTTTGTTTGTTTTTTCCATGTGATTTTTGTGTTGTTCTTTCAATGTTAAAAGACCATTTTGTTGATGAGAACAGAAGGCTTTTATTTATTCATAGCACTGGGAAGGATTGATCTATGCAGAAAGATTTAAAAGGGCTAAACATGGTCGAACTGGGAGGGGTAAAATGACTAAGAAGGATGTCAGCATTAATAAGTGGAAGAATTAGGGTAGCACAGCGAGTGAGAAGTATCAGCTCCTGCACAGCAGCATGAGGGGATGTTCCTGGAGAGCAGCACTCCCTGATGAAGTGATCAGGCAGGCTTCAGGGCCATCTCCAGGGATGGAGTTAGGAAAGCCTTGGCAAGCATTATTTGGAGCTGGTTTCCTGGCAGAGCAGCACAACTGTTCCTTGGTGACTGCAAACAAAGCTGGGTGTGGGTCTGCTCACCCATGGCAAGCTGTTCTCTTTCTGCTTCCTCTGACTGAGTCTACCTCATCAGAGCAGGAAAAGTTTAAACTGCTTTTCTGCAGAGACACAGGGAAGAATGGCACTCATTGTTTGCGTTGCCTTTGGCAGGGGCTTCCAATGAGGTTTGGGTATTTTTATTTCATTTTTTTTCCATAGGAGGCCTCCTGGCCTTCAGCATAATACATGAACCTTGCTGGGAAATAAAATATTCTATAAACACTCCTGGAAATAACCAGGGGTGTGGACACATTAGCATTTGCAGGAGTGCAAAATGACTGTTTTCCATGGGAATCCTGCAGCAGGTAGAACCTCAGACAGTTGCACTACCTGGACCACACCAGCAGCCATGCACTGAGCAGCTGGATGGCTGCTGATGTGCTCAGCCTCAGACAGGTGCTCTCCTTGGCTGGGCAAGAGAATATAGCACTAGCTGTGCACCTGTCTTTGTGCATCCTCTTCTGGGCTTTTTCTGAAGTGATGATGGTTGTTCTCCCAGGAGAAATTCATAGTGCTGCTCAGCCCCCTGAATAAATACACGTCCTTAACATAGTGCACATTGTAGGCAGAGTTCCTGTGGTAGGGTGGCATGGTGAAAAACACTGTCAGAGTTCACAGGTTGGAGCAGTGGCTGCAAGGGTAGGAGGAGCCCAGCTGCTGGGTTGAATTCCCCTCTCTCCTCATTTATTTCCTCTGCATAAATCCCCACTCTTCAAGAGCCTGGAAAACTCTTTCTTTTAATATTTTTACTAATGTTTCCAATCTGAAGACTCCAAGCCTGTTTGTGTTTGTCAGGTGAGGACTGCTGCGCGGGCATTTGACGCTGACAGTTTGTTAGGATTGTCAGGCAAAGAAAGAAGTTCTTCAGAGCTTCACATTAAACTTTACATTTCCTATGCCATTTTTTTCTTCAAATTATCTTGACTTATCTGTCTTCCAGTCTTTTATGTGAATTCAGTTGGGGTGGAGGGAGAGCTTCTAAGGGGTGATTAATCAGTCCTGCCGTTATACAAGTCTGTGGACATCAATATTTGTGCATATGGCTCTGCAGACTGTGGGATTGAAAGCTCATGACAGAGCAAAACCAATGGGAATATAAGGGAGCACTTATATTCTTTGACCCTTGATCCATATTAAGTGTCATATGGACCTGTGAGCCCTGTCTGGAATTGTTCCATCCTCACCTTCTAACTCAGCAGAAGATTGAGTCATAAACGTGGCTG